GGAAATTGAACCTGAGAGTTTATGGTTCTCAAACTACCACTCGGCCATACGTCTTCGCAATTTTTCCAGAGGATTGTTGGATTATATCTTTTAGCTAGAGAACATACTGATAGAATTGAGAAGATTTTTTTTTGGATATTAAGGCTGCTGGTCCTATAGATTTAAGGCTAGATTGGGCTTGTCTTGGTTAATCCCACGACCACCTGCTACCTCCCACTAAAATAGGTATCGGGTAGCTCTATCCATCCAAGGCTTGGACAAATGTGAAGAAATCTCCATAGTTCTTTTTTTTTTTTGAGAAAGATAACATTAATTCTATATATCCACAGGTATACTACACCAAAAAGTGTAGTTCCCCTGCAAAAAGTATTACAAAACATAGCCTACAAGGTGGGAAATGGAACGAAAATCCAATTCTGGAAAGAGAATTGGAATGGAAATGAGGCACTGATGGGCTTATTTCCTGACCTATTTTCCTTGTGTACCAATCCGGAAGAAACAGTGGCTGAGGTATGGTCTATTCATGGATGGAATATTGTGTTTAGAAGGCACTTAAATGACTGGGAGATTGGGAGAGTGGCTGAGCTATTACATGTTCTCAATGGTTTTAATGGGTTATCAGCAGAAAAAGATTCTATCATACGGAAACACTCTAGAGATGGAAGCCTTTCTGTTAACAAGCTATATATTAAGGAGGTGAATGAGTATCCAGGTGGTAAACTTGGCCCTTGGAAGCAGATTTGGAGGAACAAGGTGCCAACCAAGGTAAAGTGTTTCTCCTGGTTGGTTGCCAGAAGAGCATGCTCCACTCATGAGAAATTGAAAAGGAGGGGTTTCTATATTGCTTCTTGGTGCTCTCTTTGTAATGAGACTGAGGAAACCAACAACCATTTGTTCCTCCATTGCAAAGTGACAACACAATTGTGGAACCTTTTTTTGGGACCAACACATACAGAATGGATTATGCCTGAGCATACAGCAGATCTACTTAGTTGCTGGATCAGCAGAGGGGGGAGAAAATCTAAGAAAAAGTGGTGGTGTATAATACCATCATGCATTTGGTGGTGTATTTGGAAAGAAAGAAATAGCAGATGCTATGATAACAAAGCTAATTCAATAGAGAAAGTCAAATGGAACTGCTTGACTACTTTTTATTTTTGGTGTAAAGAGGAAGGGATAGAAGAAACTGCACAAATTTTGGATTTTATAGGCACTTTGTAATCTATTAGCCTGTTTTGTTTTTTCTCTTGTTGGAAACCAATTTTTGGAGGTCTCCAGCATATCCTTAATGCTGATGAATACAACATTACCTTTATCAAAAAAAAAAAAAAAGTATTACAACTTACATCTTGTGGTTCAATTTGTCCTTGCAAAAAGTCTGAAACGTCAAAAATGTCTTCTGTTTGAGCTAGTAATTTTTGCTCACGCCAAAAGTGAAAAAGGCCTAAGCAAATCGTCTTAAGATTCTGTAAGTTGATTTGTACTCTTTTTTTTTTTAGAAAGTTAACATTAAGCTGCTTTGTACTCTTTCAAAACACCTCCTATTCCTCTTAGACCAAACTGACCACCAAATACAAGCCAGGACAATCTTCCATCTCTCCTCCTTACTTACCGTGCCATCCTTGTTCCCAGCATCTTAGCACCTGCTATGCTTCCAGGCTTCACCCATCTAGAGGCTAATTGATGACCCCTTTTACTTGGGTTTTCCTGTGTCAAGATTACCTCTTTACCCAAAAGCCAGGTGCACAGTTAACTTTGTAAGGGATCTTCGGCTTCCATATCATCTTCCAAGGCCAATCTCTTTCCTTCACCACTGTTGAATTCAGCTCCTTGTAAGCTGAGTTGATAGAGAACTTTCCATTCCTGTCTTTGTTCCATTCCAATCTGTCTTCTCCTCCATTGAGGTTATTAAAACCTGCTACTGAATTGTAAAATTTTGCAATTCTTTTCATCTCCCAGTCATTTAAATGTCTCCTTAGGAATAAATTCCACCCTTCCACATCATGGTAACTGTGGCATGTTGCTGTTGACTTAATGCGAAGAGTTCTGGATGTTGTTGTTTCATAGTTCCTTGCCCTGTCCATTTGTCAAGCCAAAAGGATGTTCGCTGTCCATCCCCAATCTTCACCTTTGCTCTGATCTACATCAATGGCCATAGGTTCCCGATAGGTCTCCAGACTGAGTTTCTTCATTTGGAATTGAGCATGAGACCTTATGGTTCTCTACAACCCACTTCGTTGACCACTTGGCCATCCCTTGGGTGCTTATACAATGTGCCATTTTTCTAGAGGATTGTTGGATTATTTCTTTTTGCTAAAGAACATGGTGATAGCTAAAGTTACCAGTTCCAAAAAAAAAAAAGGACCATGGTGATAGAATTTGATTTTATAATTGAGAAGAATTTTTTTTGGGTAGTAGATGTACTACATGTAATGGGACTTTGATAAAATCATCTGTTCACTGGTAAAATTCTTGTAGTTAATGGAAGCTCAAAAGGATGCTTATGTCCATATTTTAATCAGCTTTAAGATTGATTCAGCTCGAGGGAATTGGTAACTGATAGCTCACTAGGAGTAAATTTAGAAATTCCATAGTATATATCTTGATAGGAAAATCCAACAGACTATATTTTGCAAAAAAGTGAATATTGCATCGTAGTGGTTTTCACAACTTGTGGCCCATCTATGGTGAAGAAATTTGTTCATTTCCCCTATGTGGTCTAAAAATTAGTGCACTACTCATTGCGTTAACTCATGCTTACAATGTTTGGTGGTCCTTCTGAATAGTGGTTAAAAATGCAGATTGTCCCTTGTAATTTCTATGCGCTAGTGTTATTAAGAACTATTACTCTGTTGTTTAGTGAGAGTGAGTGATGGTGAGAGTTAACTGGTGCTTGTTGCTTGTGTTATTTGTTAGACAAGAACATGAGTGATTTCTTGCTATTTGTTTTAGTCTTGGTGGATAGAGTTACATGGTGGTTGTTGCTTGTGTGTGTTGTTAGACAAAGACGCTAGTGATTTCTTGTTATCTGTTCTAGCTTTGATGGATAGAGTTACCTGATGCTTGTTGCTTGTATGAGTTGTTTACAAAAACATTACTGATTTCTTGTTATCTGTTCTATCTTTGATGGACAAATTTACTTGATGCTTGTTGTTTGTGTGAGTTTAGACAAAAACACTAGTGATTTCTTGCTATCTGTCTTAGTCATAGAGTTACCTTGTGTTTGTTGCTTGTGTGAGGTATTAGGTTTCTTATAGAACTAGTTGACGTGCTTGAAAGTTGGCATGGACACTATGATTATCAAAAGAGATAATATAGAGACCCATTTGTTCCTAGCATGCATTGTTAAAAGTAAAATATTGGTGTCTCATTATGGTTGCTTAATTTTATTTAATTTGGAGGTTGAAAATTAGGGTGGAAGTTTAGTAGGTAGTTGAGAGTTTACTAGTTTTTCTTATAAGTTTATTATTATTACTCTCATACTATCTTATTTTTTGATTTGATTATTACTTGCTATTTCCTTTGCTTCGGCTATCTATTTGTTGTTTCTATTGTTTTGTTGTCCTGTATTTTTGACTTAGCTTCCTCACTGCTGTATTTCCTTTTGATAACTGATTTGATATGTTTTATTCAAACCGGGGGTCTATAGGAAACAACCTTTCCCCAAGGGAGGGGTAAGCTGTGTATACACTACCCTCCCTATATCCCAATCGTGTAATTACACTGGTATGTTTTTGTTGTTTTCAAGTATTAGTTCGGATACATTTCATTTTTCCCTATGCAAGCTGATTGCCAGTCATTATATAAATACCTATTTGCTCTAGTATGCGTTGTTAAGTAGTAACATTGTGGTGTCTCATAAAGGTTATTTAAGTTTCATTGCGTTTGTTTTCAAGTAGTAGTTTGATAATTTTGATTTTTTTCACTTGTTGAAGCCGATTGACCTATAGAATATGAGTAAAGAAAGTAGAAAGAGACTTATGCTATGCTGGTTTTGTTAAGCGGAATGGATTACTTCTATGGGCTTTATCGGTTTTTTGGTATTTGGATATTATGAGGTTACATCTCTGTTGTGATGGACACTAGATGTTTTTTTTTGTTTTTGTTTCTTTTAACAATGGTATTTAGAGGTTCCTCGACTAACAATGGTATTGATTAGCTTTGTCCCCAAACATTTAGGTTGATGGAAAGAATTTACTTAGTTTTGCATATGTTATGATTAGGATTGGAGCCTTGATTCCCTAGATTGTTAAAATGAGGAAGGTTGAGGGACTTGTTCTTAGGTCACAGATTCGAGTCCTGTGCCAAGTGACTAACTACTAAGTCCTGTAATTAAGTTGAGAAGGATAGAGACTAGAGGGGAAAATCCATCATCCCTGAGTTTAGAAGGCTATGTTGTTGGCCCAAAGGGCTGGCTTCTTGTGAAGTTCACAGTCATAAACGAAAATTTTTAAAATGGCTCTTGGACTTCTAGGCCACCTTATTGGGACAGGTTTGATAGATGTATTGGGAAAAAGAGAACACCATTGGATCACATGTATATTATATTCAAATTTTCCCAACTTAGGATCCTAAAAGAATGTGCAGTAAGAGTTATATAGAGTGAGGGATCCAAGCAAGTATGATATTGAACATTTCTTCAACATAATAGCTACTCCTACATGTGAATCTTATTTGAAGCAAATGAATATCTAAAGGGAGAACATTAAAAGTTATGAAATTGTTATTTCTTATGTGAGAATGGTAGTTTTGGCTCTTTTTAGAAGGTCAGGGGAAGGTGAGATTGTACGCATACCTACTTTTGTACTATTGATCTAAAGTGGGTATATCTGCTACCTGTCATGCAACTTTCAACTGCGGAACAGTGTCATTAGGAAGTACTCAGAGCTTGAGCAGTCAAATTATTACTTTACCAGTTACCACAAGCTTTGTTATTGGGCTCTGCTTTACTCTGATGGGTCTCTTAAGTATGAGAAGGCTCTGGCTGTGTACCCTTAAGTATGAGAAGGCTCTGGCTGTGTACCCTAAGAGACAGACAAGAGAAGTTGGAGCGAGTGCTTGCATTCTATAAATCTTCTAAAGGAAGTCCATTCCAAGAAACTAGCACTCACGTAAGAGGAGAATTTGATGCTGTGGGTGCACTGTTGATGATCGGTACCGTTGATGTATCCAAGTGCAATGCAATTGAAAGAGCAATTAGGACTGGTATTGATTCTAGGCTGACTTTTGAAACAACTATCCGTGAAAAGGATACACTTGTAGCAGAGTTTGTTGGCAGCGTAAGAGGCCAAAAGTGTATCCTGGGTAGTTCACTTTCCTTAGCAAAAGTTCTTTATGCAGCAAATATCAGTGATTGGTGTTCTGCTGTTGCCATTCCAGTCGGTGGTCGATGCAGAGATGTTGCAGTACCTACAAGTTCACGTGAGGTAAATGCTTCTGAATACTGAATGTGCTTTCTTATTTGTGATCATAGTTATCAATTCCATGTTCGATTCTTTTTGGTATTGTCAGTATCAGCAAGAAGTTGCAAAAGTAATAAGGTCAAAAGTTTTGTTACCAGCCTCCCAAAAAAAGGTTAGGTCAAAATTCCTGTAAAATGAAGTTGCAGATGTACTCACCAAAACCAAAAGAAAATATCGAGTTGCTGATCTGTGGTGCAAAAGTTCTCGCACTTATTAGGATTGAGGAATGACAAGAAATCAACAGGTTGACAAGGAAGATTCTGTGGGGAGAGGGAGGTCATTACATGGTTGTTGGCTTGTTGCATAGTGTATTTACTTGTTATATTACATCTTTCAGTTGTCTTTCTATGTAGCTTCATGTAAAAGCAAGGTAAGTAATCTGACAAGGAAGATTTCATGGGGAGTCATTAGTTGGTTGTTGCAGATGTTGCATATTGTATCTACTTATATTACATCATTTTTAGTTGCCTTAATGTGTAGCCTAGAATAACAATTTTTTGGGGGAATTTTTGCAGGAAAGGGGGCTGACTGACTATTCATCTTTTGGGCCGCCCCGGCTGAATCAACTAAATGGTAGTGGAATCGCTGTGATGATTAAAAAATTAAATACTGTTGCCTCCTTGGCTCAGTTCGTCTCTGCATTGCCACACTCTAGTAGTGTTTTGTATCGTTTTGGCACTTTTGGTCAAGTTGTTTGCCAACTTTCAAGCAATACAAAACTATCAATCTTGGGCATACACAAAATGGCCAATCTGTCACGTCAACAGCCTAGACTCGCAGCTATGTCGTTGCCTTTTAGTTTTTTACAACGGTCAGGGCATCCTCAAGTGTCCTTGGTGGAAAACTACTTCTTAGTTGGGCCACTTGCCATGACCCTAGAGTCAGAACTTGATGAAAGTACAAGAATTGGTGGCAGGGTAGAGACAAATATAGCAAGTCCCGAATATTTGAAGTGGGCAGTTACCATGTCTGATACCTCTGAGGATGATTTTGGATGGGGTTTGAGCCTTGGTGGTTTTCTACGAGGTCCAAGAAAGTGTAACCGTTTTCATGTTGAAAGCTTTCTCAATTTCAACGTAGGAAAGAAGTGCAAGTTGCAACCAGGTCTACTCTATGCGATGGATGAAGGAGCCACTCAGTTTTCTGCATTGATATTCCGCGCTAGTTGGTCCTTGTGAAGTGTGCAAGCTATCTCAGACACCACGGCTGGACATAAAAAAACACTCCCGTGAACAATTTTGTTGACAAAGGTAAGGATAATGTTCGTGGACGTTAAATTCTCTCCAGACTTCATTTGTGAGATTATACTAAATATGTTGTTGATTAGATAAATAGTTTATGACTTTAGTGTTTGGTCAATTTTCTCTAAGAAGTGTTTTGTGAGTGATACATTAGAGAGAAGATATAAAGAATCACTTTATGATTTGTGTTGTTTAAATTAATAAATAATCTGGAATATTTATCATGTGAAATTGTAGTCATTTGATCCCTTTGAATTCCATATTCGAAGTTGCGATCGGATCTATTCATTAAAAAGAATCGATTCAATACATTTCTTATGTACCTATAGGTATTATATTGGATTTGAATCAGATTTCGAATCAATCTATATTGAATGACTGCCTCCATTATGTTGTTGCTAGCAAATACCAAACTTTTATAATTTTATTTAATAGGAGTGTTAAGGGGTAGAGACTAGAGAGGCCATTTTTATAGATCCTCAGCTCAAAAGTGAAGTTGTTGAAGTAGGATTTCAAGAAAACTATAACAATTAAATAGCAAGATACAAAGCAAATGAAACAATAATGAGACGAGGAAAGGAGGGGGCTAGCCCTCTTCTATGTAAGTTGAAGTTGTGTCAAGTTCTATCTAGTCTCCTTCTTCCTAGTTCTTTTCGGGTACTACCTCTACCCCTTTGATTTCTTCTACAATCAACCTCTCACATCTTCTAACTAACAAGTTCTGTTCACCTCTCTCCCCCCCCCCCCCCCCCCCCTTCCTCTCTTGTTCTTTTCAAGCACTACCTCTACCCCTACTATTTCTTCTACAATCAACCTCTCACATCTCTTAACTGACGCATCCGTGGCACCTCACACCTCATTTTCATATGTCTGAACCACATCATCCTCGCTTCTCTCATTTTATCACCATAATGGTCACTCCCATCTTGTCCATTATAAAATTGTTCCTAATCATATCACCTAGTTAACCCACACATCCATCCGAGCATCTTCATCTTCTAAACATGGGCATTCTTCATTTACCAACACCTTGTCATGTACAACAATATTGTTCTAACTCTCACTTTATAGAACTTACTTTTTAAAAATTTTAATGACACATTTTTATCACAAAATACTCTAGAAAGGAGCTTTTGTTTCATCGACCCACACAAATAATGTGCAAAATCATCATCATTCTCGCCGTCTCCTTGAATTAAAATCCAAAGGTACCTTATTTAACTATAATTTGTTGTAAAACTTAAGAATAAAAAAACAATATAAAGAGGAGACAAGAAGAATATAGGACAAGAGGAACAATATGAGATAAATTTCTTTCTTTCAAGTGTACACCCTAAGTCTATACAATATGAACTCTTATACCTCTATTTATAGTGTAACATAAAGGCATAAAGGTGGAGGTTATGATTTTCTTCATAATGGAGGAAAGTAATGGAGATAATGGGTGAGAGTAACTTCTTGGTGTAGTGGACATTCACACTATAATATTTTATAATATTCCCCCGTGGATGTTCATAGATAATATGCCTCGTTAAAACCTTACTAGAAAAAAATCATATGGGAAAAAATTCCAGTGAAGGAAAAAGAGTATACATATCTTTTAATACGCTTTGAATGTTGCCTCGTTAAAAACCTTACCAGGAAAATCCAATTGGAATAAAATCACGGTTAAGGAAAAGAGTACAACATGTATTTTTCTCCCCTTGATAAAAATTTTACATGATATTTCGGAAACGATGCATTCCAATCTTATATCACAACTTCTCAAATATTGATGTTGGCAATCCTTAGTGAATAAGTTTACAAAATTATCACTTGAATGGGTCTTTGAACGTCTATCTCACCATTTTATTGAAGATCATGTGTGAAAAAGACTTTGTGAAATATGCCTTGTCCGATCTCCTTTGATTGTGTCCTCCCTTCAATTGAGTTGTATATTATTTTCAATATGCTGACTGGAATATCCTTTTTCAAAAGAAAATCACATATTTTCTGAATATGATAGATCATGACTTCAATCAAACACACTCCCGAATTAATTCATAGATCAATATTATTTCTGCATGATTTGAAGAAGTGGTTACTAATGGGTTCTTTGAATGCCAAGATATTATTGTGTCTCCATATATAAATAAATAGTCCATTTGCGATCGAGCTTTATGCAGATCAAATAAATATTCTGCATCTACATATAAATCATTTCTGACTCAGAGATTGATCATTTCAATTTTATTGAATCTCGTCTTTTCTTCTCAAAGAATATCACACATCTTTTATGCGTTAAGTCACCTGCTTTGTTGGTTTCTTGTCATAACTTGAATGATAATATGACAATCCTTTCACATAACTTTCATTATGTATATCAAATAATCTTCTAGCATTTGCTTATCTAGCAATCTGTAAGTGCACCAATGACACTAATATATGACATTTTAAATCATTTGCATGAGATTAAAAAGATTCTTTCTCTGTGTTAAGCAGTCTCAAAACCATTGGGTACGCAATGGAATTGCTTTAAGACCTTTTAAATCCTTTAAGGATTTTCATATAACCTTCATCGTCTAGTTAGACATGATAATCATTAATTATACATATTCAAGTATTTTATCTATTGCCAGACTGAAATAAGTCTCATTGCATCCACCACTGGAGAATATACTCCATTTAATAATGTCAGGACTTTTACGAAATCCCTTTATGCCCTGAGGTACAAATCGTACTTTATATCTTACGGTTATACTTCCGCACAATGATTCATTTGTATCCCCCACTGACATATATTTTGATCTATGAACTATAAGTTCAAAAACATCATTTTTTAAGTGAAGAAAAATATATTTGAATAGTGCAATTTATTTGGCCAAATTATTTATCTGTCCACATTATATGACAGATTTGAATTCAAGATCCTCGTAACCATTTATAGCATTGAGTGCTACTTCATATCAAATATACTGTCGACAATCATTTTGATATTGATTCCAATTCGACATAACTTATTGAAATCTCTTCAGTTTTCATCGTTTCAGGTACCTGAACCTTTACTAAGGTCTTATGAAGTGTTATGTCATAGTACAATTTCAAAGCATTTACCTCATTATCATGATCATTTCTATAATTTTCTCCTCTCCTTCCTCAATGAGTTATACGTTTGGAATCGATTGGTCTCACACTTTTGGTGTACCAAGACTCTGTCCTTCAAGGACTATTTATTGGAGCATTTACAGCTTAATTAAAATATTGGGTCAGCAAATATATCTGGCAAAGCAACATTTTGCAAATTAATTATCTCTTGAACTTCAAGTTCACATTTTTTTAACGAGGATCTAGATAATTCACCACACATAATTTTCAGCTGCTAAACACATCTCCCCCTAATGTTAGGAAATCTAACATTTACCCTCAACCTCATTTGGGTATCCATCTTTGTGCGTGGTGGAGCAATAAAATCATATGTGCATATATCAAATATTTAGATGGAAATTATTTGGTTCCTGACCCTAAACCAATTTTGATGAGAAAACTTTGTTGGCCTGATGCATACATGTTAAATAAACTCATCTCATATTAGATTTTATTTGAGAGATTTGTTCTCATAACCCATGGTCTAGCTATAATTGGAGGCTAACAATTTCTGCTAAACCAACCATATTATCAACATAATTATATAATTTGAAACCGTGCTCTTAATTTAACAATTTGAGCAAACAACCTTACAAAAATAAATTTATAGATTGATACAAATTCACATGTGACCATATCATAGATGCATCTATTAAATCATAGTAGTTACCGGTCCACATGGCAGGTGAACGGGCCATATTCACCTTTTTATAAGTTTCAAATAATTTCAAGTGATACAATCTCAACCTTAGCTGGTACATTGATCATTTTATGATGAGAACAAGCAATACAAGAGTTTCTCTTGAAGAATCTTTTAATTCTTCAAACATATAGCCACGTGAATTCTCAATTTCTTTTGCATCACATTTGAACCGGAATGGCCAATCGGTTATGCCAACTGATATTTATTCTAGTAAACTTTTGATTTACTTTTGCATGTGATTTCTTCATCATGCCTATATTTTTATACAACAAACAAGGGAAAGACGGGTAACCTTTTACGTAAATATTCATAACCTGCTTTGATTGTAGTAAACTAAGGATATTTAATCTTTCAATAATTTACAATCTCAATATAATAAAAAAAAAATCTTTCAATTCCTCCGAAACTTAAAAAGCTTCTTTTGAGACTTACTACAACCCCAATATTATGAACTATTTCATTCCTCCGGATAATAACAATTAGCCCTTTCGAAACTCTCAATTAATTTTGTGTACTACCACAAATTTCACAACACCATTCTTATGGTGACCATCTCCTTCAAGGAGAAATTATTTTTATTGTCATGGTTAAAATTATTACATGCAAGATTTATTTCTTGACAACTAATGACAATTTTGTGTTCCCACACAATAATATTTATTTTGATCATGACCGCACTTTTATAGAAAAAAATTAGTATTTATTTCTTTTGTCCTCCAATAGTTCATAATAAAACATGCCACAATATTTGTGTGTACTCAAAGTATATGCCCAAAACGACCATTCATGTCAAATTTATTTTTTTTCAATATCTCAAACCTCCCGTAGAGGTGAGATGTGACGTTTATTTAATCATACATGAACATGTCCTTATCCAAACGAACACAAGCCACATTCTCTTCAAGAAATGACCATAATCATTTGTACATGCTCCATAAGTTTTTATTAGTCATACTTTGACATTATCAAATTTATTTGACCCACCTCGACATCACTTTAAAATTACTAAATGTACTATCACTTTGTATTTCTTTATTTTGATGGAGGATTCACAAAACTTTCAAATTGGGTTGCACCAACCCAATGTGACAAATAACCTTTCATACCACTT